GGTGGTGTGTATGTTTCTCTCGGTGTGTGTATGTTTCTCTCGGTGGTGTGTATGTTTCTCTCGGTGGTGTGTATGTTTCTCTCGGTGGTGTGTATGTTTCTTCGGTTGGTGTGTATGTTTCTCTCGGTGGTGTGTATGTTTCTCTCGGTGGTGTGTATGTTTTCCTCGGTGGTGTGTATGTTTCTCTCGGTGGTGTGTATGTTTCTCTCGGATGTGTGTATGTTTCTCTCGGTGGTGTGTATGTTTCTTCGGTGGTGTGTATGTTTCTCTCGGTGGTGTGTATGTTTCTCTCGGTTGGTGTGTATGTTTCTCTCGGATGTGGTATGTTTCTCTCGGTGGTGTGTATGTTTCTCTCGGATGTGTGTATGTTTCTCTCGGTGGTGTGTATGTTTCTCTCGGTGGTGTGTATGTTTCTCTCGGTGGTGTTTTATGTTTCTCTCGGATGTGTGTATGTTTCTCTCGGTGGTGTGTATGTTTCTCTCGGATGTGTGTATGTTTCTCTGGTGGTGTGTATGTTTCTCTCGGTGGTGTGTATGTTTCTCTCGGTGGTGTGTATGTTTCTCTCGGTGGTGTGTATGTTTCTCTCGGATGTGTGTATGTTTCTCTGGGTGGTGGTATGTTTCTCTCGGTGGTGTGTATGTTTCTCTCGGTGGTGTGTATGTTTCTTCGTGGTGTGTATGTTTTCCCCGGTGGTGTGTATGTTTCTCTCGGGGGTTTGTGTATTTTTCTCTCGGTGGTGTGTATGTTTCTCTCGGTGGTGTGTATGTTTCTCTCGGATGTGTGTATGTTTCTCTCGGTGGTGTGTATGTTTCTCTCGGTGGTGTGTTTGTTTCTCTGGGTGGTGTGTATGTTTCTCTCGTGGTTTTGTATGTTTCTCTCGGATGTGTGTATGTTTCTCTCGGTGGTGTGTATGTTTCTCTCGGTGGTGTGTATGTTTCTCTCGGTGGTGTGTATGTTTCTCTCGGTGGTGTGTATGTTTCTCTCGGTGGTGTGTATGTTTCTCTCGGATGTGTGTATGTTTCTCTCGGTGGTGTGTATGTTTCTCTCGGTGGTGTTGTATGTTTCTCTCGGATGTGTGTATGTTTCTCTCGGTGGTGTGTAGGGTTTCTCTCGGTGGTGTGTTTTGTTTCTCTCGGTGGTGTGTATGTTTCTCTCGGTGGTGTGTATGTTTTTTCGGGTGTGTGTATGTTTCTCTCGGTGGTGTGTATGTTTCTCTCGGTGGTGTGTATGTTTCTCTGGATGTGTGTATGTTTCTCTCGGTGGTTTTGTATGTTTCTCTCGGTGGTGTGTATGTTTCTCTCGGATGTGTGTATTTTTTCTCTCGGTGGTGTGTATGTTTCCTCTCGGGGGTTTTGTATGTTTCCTCGGTGGTGTGTATGTTTCTCTCGGTGGTGTGTATGTTTCTCTCGGTGGTGTGTATGTTTCTTCGGGGGTTTGTGTTGTTTCTCTCGGTGGTGTGTATTTTTCTCTCGGTGGTGTGTAATGTTCTCTCGGTGGTGTGTATGTTTCTCTCGGAGGTGTGTATGTTTCTCTCGGTGGTGTGTATGTTTCTCTGGGTGGTGTGTATGTTTCTCTCGGTGGTGTGTATGTTTCTCTCGGTGGTGTGTATGTTTCTCTCGGTGGTGTGTATGTTTCTCTCGGTGGTGTGTATGTTTCTCTCGGTGGTGTGTATGTTTCTCTCGGTGGTGTGTATGTTTCTTCGGTGGTGTGTATGTTTCTCTCGGTGGTGTGTATTTTTTCTCTCGGTGGTGTGTATGTTTCTCTCGGTGGTGTGTATGTTTCTCTCGGTGGTGTGTATGTTTCTCTCGGTGGTGTGGTATGTTTCTCTCGGTGGTGTGTATTTTTCTCTCGGTGGTGTGTATTTTTCTCTCGGTGGTGTGTATGTTTCTCTCGGTGGTGTGTATGTTTCTCTCGGATGTGTGTATGTTTCTCTCGGTGGTGTTTTATGTTTCTCTCGGTGGTGTGTATGTTTCTTTCGGTGGTGTGTATTTTTTCTCTCGGTGGTGTGTAATGTTTCTCTCGGATGTGTGTATGTTTCTCTCGGTGGTGTGTATGTTTCTCTCGGGGGTTTGTGTATGTTTCTCTCGGTGGTGTGTATGTTTCTCTCGGTGGTGTGTATGTTTCTCTCGGTGGTGTGTATGTTTCTCTCGGTGGTGTGTTGTTTCTCCCCGGTGGTGTGTATTTTTTCTCTCGGTGGTGTGTATTTTTCCCTTCGGTGGTTGTGTATGTTTCTCTCGGTGGTGTGTATTTTTTCTCTCGGTGGTGTGTATGTTTCTCTCGGTGGTGTGTATGTTTCTCTCGGTGGTGTGTATGTTTCTCTCGGTGGTGTGTATGTTTCTCTCGGTGGTGTGTATGTTTCTCTCGGATGTGTGTATTTTTTCTCTCGGTGGTGTGTATGTTTCTCTCGGTGGTTGTGTATGTTTCTCTCGGTGGTGTGTATGTTTCTCTCGGTGGTGTGTATGTTTCTCTCGGTGGTGTGTATGTTTCTCTCGGATGTGTGTATGTTTCTCTCGTGGGTGTGTAGTTTCTCTCGGATGTGTGTATGTTTCTCTCGGTGGTGTGTATGTTTCTCTCGGTGGTGTGTATGTTTCTCTCGGTGGTGGGGTATGTTTCTCTCGGTGGTGTGTATGTTTCTCTCGGTGGTGTGTATGTTTCTCTCGGTGGTGTGTATGTTTCTCTCGGTGGTGTGTATGTTTCTTCGGATGTGTCTATGTTTCTCTTGGTGGTGTGTATGTTTCTCTCGGTGGTGTGTATGTTTCTCTCGGTGGTGTGTATGTTTCTCTCGGTGGTGTGTATGTTTCTCTCGGTGGTGTGTTTTGTTTCTCTCGGTGGTGTGTTGTTTCTCTCGGTGGTGTTTTATGTTTCTCTCGGATGTGTCTATGTTTCTCTTGGTGGTGTGTATGTTTCTCTCGGTGGTGTGTATGTTTCTCTCGGTGGTGTGTATGTTTCTCTCGGTGGTGTGTATTTTTCTCTCGGTGGTGTGTATGTTTCTCTCGGTGGTGTGTTGTTTCTCTCGGTGGTGTGTATGTTTCTCTCGGTTTTGTGTCTTGTTTCTCTTGGTGGTGTGTATGTTTCTCCGGTGGTGTGTATGTTTCTCTCGGTGGTGTGTATGTTTCTCTCGGATGTGTGTATGTTTCTCTCGGTGGTGTGTATGTTTCTCTCGGTGGTGTGTATGTTTCTCTCGGTGGTGTGTATGTTTCTCTCGGTGGTGTGTATTTTTCTCTCGGTGGTGTGTATGTTTTCTCTCGGTGGTGTGTATGTTTCTCTCGGATGTGTGTATGTTTCTCTCGGTGGTGTGTATGTTTCTCTCGGTGGTGTGTATGTTTCTTGGGGTGGTGTGTATGTTTCTCTCGGTGGTGTGTATGTTTCTTCGGTGGTGTGTATGTTTCTCTGGGTGGTGTGTATGTTTCTCTCGGTGGTGTGTATGTTTCTCTCGGTGGTGTGTATGTTTCTCTCGGTGGTGTGTATGTTTCTCTCGGATGTGTGTATGTTTCTCTCGGTGGTGTGTATGTTTCCTCGGTGGTGTGAAAGTTTCTCTCGGATGTGTGTATGTTTTCTCTCGGGGGTTTGTGTATGTTTCTCTCGGATGTGTGTATGTTTCTCTCGGGGGGTGTGATGTTTCTCTCGGTGGTGTGTATGTTTCTCTCGGTGGTGTGTATGTTTTCTCGGTGGTGTGTATGTTTCTCTCGGATGTGTGTATGTTTCTCTCGGATGTGTCTATGTTTCTCTCGGTGGTGTGTATGTTTCTCTCGGTGGTGTGTATGTTTCTCTCGGTGGTGTGTATGTTTCTCTCGGTGGTGTGTATGTTTCTCTCGGTGGTGTGTATGTTTCTCTCGGTGGTGGGTATGTTTCTCTGGGTGGTGTGTATGTTTCTCTCGGATGTGTCTATGTTTCTCTTGGTGGTGTGTATGTTTCTCTGGGTGGTGTTTTATGTTCTCTCGGTGGTGTGTATGTTTCTCTCGGTGGTGTGTATGTTTCTCTGGGTGGTGTGTATGTTTTCTCGGTGGTGTCTATGTTTCTCTTGGTGGTGTCTGTTTTCTCTCGTGGTGTGTATGTTTCTCCTCGGATGTGTCTATGTTTCTCTTGGTGGTGTGTATGTTTCTCTCGGTGGTGTGTATGTTTCTCTGGGTGGTGTGTATGTTTCTCTCGGTGGTGTGTATGTTTCTCTCGGTGGTGTGTTATGTTTTTTCTCGGGTGTGTCTATGTTTCTCTTGGTGGTGTCTGTTTCTCTCGGTGGTGTGTATGTTTCTCTCGGATGTGTCTATGTTTCTCTTGGTGGTGTGTATGTTTTCTCTCGTGGTGTGTATGTTTCCTCTCGGTGGTGTGTATGTTTCTCTCGGTGGTGTGTATGTTTCTCTCGGTGGTGTGTATGTTTCTCTCGGTGGTGTGTATGTTTCTCTCGGTGGTGTCTATGTTTCTCTCGGTGGTGTCTATGTTTCTCTCGGTGGTGTCTATGTTTCTCTCGGTGGTGTCTATATTTCTCTCGGGACTGCCTGAGTTGGACCTTTTTTTTTTTCCTAAGTTGGACTCGTTTCACCGAGTTAATTTTTCCCTAAGTTCGACATATTTTTCCTGACTCACGAAATCGTAATGACGCGACGGGCTGGAGTTTTGAGACTCTCTGACCGCGGGTTCAATCCCGGCCGGGGTATGGTTTATTTTTCCCTGAGTTGGATTTGTGTTTATCTCAGTTAACGCCAACATAATGTCTTTACTAAACTAGACAACACTGAAAAGAAAAGACAATTTGCAAAAGAAGCTTTTATTAAGACAACGTTTCGCTCTGTGTGAAGATTTATCTAGCCATAGCTTGATGAACCTTTGCACAGAGAGAAACGTTGTGCTAATAAACGCTTGAACCTTCGACACTGCAGAGTACAAAGTGTCATGACTCTACTGAGGCGTAGGGTCAGCTGGTTCCGAAACGTGTGACTTTTCCTCACTGTTGTTTGCCATTTATATTGTGGACTCAATTTATATTTCCTGGAGGTGAAACTCACCTGTGTGGGTGTGAGGTACAGGAGGCCGCACGCTGTGAGGTCCAAATGACGGAGGCTGAGAAGCGAGGCCAGAGTGGCAGGGGGAAGGAAGGCCAAGCGAGGATTGTGGCTTAGTACCAATGTCTCTAAGACGCTCGTGCTCAGGAAGGCTTCAGTACTGATGCCACTAAGTCGTGGGCACCGGGACAATGACAGTGACAATAGGGAAGTCAGCCCTTTGAAACAATCCCCAGGAGCTCCTCAAAGAGGTTTCCACTGAGGTCCAGTTCTTGGAGATCAGGAAGACCAGTTATGGCAATTGAGGGAACTTGCAGAAGGCGGTTGTCGACGAGGGAGAGGTGACGCAGCTCACACAGGCCTGTCAATGCCTCGGGGCTGATGTCACTAATGTTGTTCTTGTCCAGGACGAGACGAGTCAGGCTGGTGACGCCACTAAAGGCACGACCAGGCACTTGCGAAATCTGATTGTCACTCAGGTCCAGCTCCGACAGGGACGTTAGATTTATTAGCCCGGTACTAGGTATACTCCCTAACTTGTTCCCACTCAGGTTCAGTGTCCATAAATTTGGCAGTTCACTGAGACTACTTTCACTTAAACTTTTGATTTTGTTCTTGGACAAGTTCAGTTCAATGAGGTTAACTAAACCCCTGAAGGCTCCGTCTTCAATATTGAAGATTTTATTGTTATCCAGGTGAAATACCTTGAGGCCCGCCAGCCCTTGCAGATCGGTGCTCTCTAGTATCTTGAGGTTGTTATTGCTCACAATCAGCTCGGCCAAGTTATGTTGCTCTTCGAAGTTCCTTTTTCCAAGAGACATTATTTCATTATCAGATATGTCAAGTTTCTTCAGATCAGAGTAAAAAACAAGAGACTGTGAGAGGGCTCGGATCTTGTTCTGACTGAGAATTATCGTCTGCACCCGAGGGTTCAGTAGGATTGGAACGACTCCTAAGCTCACGTTTTGACAGTTTACCGTCAAGCTACTGTCATCACAGTCACAACCAGCTGGACAAAAGCCCTCAGTGGCAACAGGAAAAGAGCACATAATAATTAGATATATTATCACATTATAAGCATTGCTATATTGTTTTAATTTGAGAAATGTCCAACTCCACATAAACTTAAGATCGCAAAAGCAAAGATGACTCCATGCAACTAGGTCGGGTTTAGTCCGAAGCAACGACATAACGAGGAAACAACAATCCACTATATACAAATAAACAGATTGAGTGAGGAGGCTCAGTGAACTTCTCACAGCATAAGACACTGGTAACTCCAAAGTTTGATATGAACATGTATGAAGCTGATAATTCTTCCAATTTTTTCTTCTCATTCTCGTTCTTCTTGCGTTATTGCACTCTGTTGCTTGTGAGCTCCGCCTGAGGGCTCTGAGCTGGGTGTTCTCCGGCTCAGAGTATCCAGTGCACCAGTGGTGAGCTTGTGTGCCGTGCGGGGAGGATGCTCGCACCTGCCGTCGCCACCTCAACATTGTCCCTCCCGTCTCACCACTATCCACAATCTGTCATAATTCATGTAATTGCCACATTATATTTTGACGTTTGAGGATTAATATTATCACTAACTTATTAAAATTCATGGGTCTTTTTTGTTCACACTCCTCATTACACTATTAATAATATTAGAATGATCATTGTTTTCAACTCACTTTATTTTTCAAAATACGCAAAGTGGAATTCGTCTGAATCTTACTGTTTCAATGATCACTGGAACATCTTTATCACATATAACACATGAACCAGGTTACTGCTGAACTTTCACACGTGTTATTATACACTGTTAATATGCTTTAAGTCTTGTTAAGCCGACAACAATAATGTCTGAGGAAGACGAAGCTCCTCAGCCAGCTGACGGCAACCAGTCACTTATGGCAGGAACTGAAGATTTTCGTTGAAGACGCAATCTGGAAAAAAAAGTAATTGATAGGCTGTAGAATATATAAAGAACACAGAACAATGGAACACACCAATGGAAAATTAAATTTACTTGGATGAATCTCATTAGATACATACCAACAAATGGTAACAAAAATAATTATTCTTTATCAAGGTTACAGAGACAAGTAGGAATTTTAGGACACCTAGGTCGCAAAAAATGTCCCCCTTTGATACCTACCATAATCCATCTCTCCACAAGTCACTCTGGACCTATATTAATTTCAAATGAAATATACATCACCAGGAATTCTGGTAAAAGCATTAATATAAATATATAGACTGTATATTAAATTTAAAGTGTGAATACATATACATTGAAGTAGAATTTATAATAATAAGACTCACCAATTAGTCTGGAGATTACGGTGTGTCATACCAACCCCCCTTCCTAAATATGAAGAAAATATTGGCCAGAATCTCAACATAAGTAGACATGACTTAGCTGGGGTTCCCGGACCGTCCTGTCTACTCGCCTAATGTTCACGTTATGCAGGACTGCAAATCCAACAATTTTGGCTCCTATTTGAGAGGTTTTAAGCCCAATATAACCCCTAGAGCGACGAAAATTTATGCACATTTCACTAGCGTGCTTTTACCACATTCAAAACAATGGCGTCTCTCCCCTGCTCGTCAGCGCAGGCGCAGAGCTTCCCTGTCGATTCACTTCTTTAAAATACACTTTAGAGCAATAGTAATGTATTAATCAGGTATATTTACATTATAAAAAATATACAGCGTAATTTTGGGAAATTATTTTCCACAACACCTTTACAATGTTGGATCCTTTATTATTTTTAAGTTCACAGTCCTAATCTTAAGTTGGAAGAGATGCACTTGGATGATCACTTGGACAGATATGCGGTTCATCACTTTTATTCAGCATTCGGAAAAAATCCTGTATATGCGTAGAGTTGTGAGCAAAAATAGAAGCGAATTGAATGTTCTGTAATCTGGCAAGACTGCTGGTGTATTTTTATTTTCTTGTGTGATTTATAGTAGTTCTTAAGCCAGTACTGTCATGCGTGTCGTTGAAGGCGACTAAAGTGCTTGCAAGAAAAAGCTAGTTACCCTTATCACCCATGTAATTACTAAAATAAATAAATCTTAACATATGATTGTTGGAATGTAGGCGGAACAAGTACTGATGTTAATAAATAACTGATTGCTAACTTTATGAATTTAAAGAGAGCTTGATGCCTTAAGTATAAATGAAACAAAGCTAAATGGGAGAGGATTGCTTAAAGGTGAGTAATGGTAATGATAAATGAACAACTGTGAAATGAAATAAGGAGTACATAAATGTTAAAATTAAAAAAAAAAATGTGTGTTACAGAATACGAGGCGTTTGTGCACCTGGTAGTGAGAGGAGATTTTTTTAAGCGAGTCTAAGTGGTAAATGTTGAGTGAAGTGAGAGTTGTGAGTCCTTTATACTAAAATGTTGAGTGAAGTGAGAGTTGCGAGTCCTTTATACTAAAATGTTGAGTGAAGTGAGAGTTGCGAGTCCTTTATACTAAAATGTTGAGTGAAGTGAGAGTTGTGAGTCCTTTATACTAAAATGTTGAGTGAAGTGAGAGTTGCGAGTCCTTTATACTAAAATGTTGAGTGAAGTGAGAGTTGCGAGTCCTTTATACTAAAATGTTGAGTGAAGTGAGAGTTGCGAGTCCTTTATACTAAAATGTTGAGTGAAGTGAGAGTTGTGAGTCCTTTATACTAAAATGTTGAGTGAAGTGAGAGTTGTGAGTCCTTTATACTAAAATGTTGAGTGAAGTGAGAGTTGTGAGTCCTTTATACTAAAATGTTGAGTGAAGTGAGAGTTGCGAGTCCTTTATACTAAAATGTTGAGTGAAGTGAGAGTTGCGAGTCCTTTATACTAAAATGTTGAGTGAAGTGAGAGTTGTGAGTCCTTTATACTAAAATGTTGAGTGAAGTGAGAGTTGTGAGTCCTTTATACTAAAATGTTGAGTGAAGTGAGAGTTGCGAGTCCTTTATACTAAAATGTTGAGTGAAGTGAGAGTTGCGAGTCCTTTATACTAAAATGTTGAGTGAAGTGAGAGTTGCGAGTCCTTTATACTAAAATGTTGAGTGAAGTGAGAGTTGCGAGTCCTTTATACTAAAATGTTGAGTGAAGTGAGAGTTGCGAGTCCTTTATACTAAAATGAGAAACAGTTTTGCGGAAGTTATCGTTGGAAGTGAAAAGTGTGAATAAAAGTGAGATTGTGTATTTGAATTAAGTAAATGGTTTCATAATAGGCAGAGGTACAATATTTTGAATAATTTAATGAAAATGAAGAAATGTTAGGCAGCAAGAGTTGAAAGTATGAAAGAAATAAGTATAATACTGTTGTAAGTAGGATGAAAGTATAGGAAAAGCAGCAGAAATGGATGAAATTAACTGAAACACTGGTGAAAGTAGGTTCAACTGTTATGGTTGAAAGATGGAAGTTACCTAAGTATAAACAGAGAGCATACATAATTCCCTTGTCTAAGAGAAACATGGACACGAGAGTTTGAAACATACATAAGGAAAAAAAGTCTTTCAGAATTGCTACTGAAAGTTAATGGGAAAAAAGGAACGTATGATGACAGAGGAATAAGACAGTGTTAGGAAGGGAAAGGAGTTGCTGCAACACAAACCAGGACTTTGCGGTGAAGCATATATACAGTACTGGCATAATTATTATGGATTTTTTGAAAATTCTTAATTTTTCTACTAAAAGATCTATTAAATCTATTTCACTGACTGCTAAATGATTTATTTTGATATATCAGTGCAAGTCAACCATTTTATATCCATAAGTGCTTTTACACGTGTGGGCATCATGCCAATGGTCAATATTTTGAATAATTCCTTGATTCTGGCAGAATGGAAACTTCATGTGTATTTCAGCCTTCAATACAGACCATAAACTCTCATGTCGGGATGATTTCTAGGCCATGGGAGCAGCTCAACGCCATTTTGCGCACGCCACGTCTTTACTGATTTTGTCGTGTGACATGGGGCTGAGTATTGTATGAATATCCAACGTCCATCACCATATCAATCCCTTATCCGAGGCAGTAATTGGCGTTGTAGTATTTCTATATACTTAAGCTGGTTCATGGTATCCTCAGCGATGTGCAAATGATCTGTTCCATGAACAAAAATGGCTCGCCAAACCATGATTTTCAGAGGAAATTTGATCGTCTGCTTCAGACATTCGGTCATTCGGTCAGCACACGGTCATCCAGCACTGCAATGATTGAGTGATGAGAGAATACCACCTACAGCAACAGAAGTGGTGGAACAACCAGAGAAGCTGAATGGTAATCTTAATTTTTCAGATAGAATTGTCACTTTTCTAATAATTAATGTTCTTTTATGAACAACAAATGAATCGCACCCATTGTTGAGAAGTCCACTCAATGATTCTTAACCCAGGCTAAACGTTTCCGTATCATGGATTCGGCAAGTCGCGGTTTCTTTCTGGGACAATATGTTTTCAATCCACTCTCCAGAAACCTCTCATTAACTGTCCTTCTGGCAGGGTAACACCTGCTGCTGCTAGGTCAGAGGAAATCTGGCTGCAAGATGCTCTTCCGTTAAGAGCCATTAGCATTAATTTTCTGTCTAATCACGGTGATGCCTATCATTTTGCACCACATCTTCCCACTCTTCTCGAGTTTAAATCTTGATTGTACTTCAAATTCTTCTTAATTGTATTGATTGAATTGAAACGCCAAGTTTTATTACTATTTCTTTCTGTTTCAAAATACTATCACTCAATAAAATGCTTATATGTCTCACTTTGCGAGGACTCAAATCGCTCTTTTTACCCATTTCTGCTGACTTTCTTTCTAATCATTAAACTGAAAGGAAAAAACAAAAGGCACTTTTAGCAGCAAGAATGGACACAGAAAATATACACTACTGTAATTATCACAGTCAATAAAAAGCAGAAAATATCATTTGCGCACCAAACCAGGAGAGCAAGTGAGACAAGTGTCTTAATAAACACCACCTGGCCTGTCTAGTTCAGTTTTCCCATCCATTGTTCCTTCCGAGTTGCCAAACAAAAACTCACAATGTTCTTCAACTTTTTTAATGTTAATTTTAAATAGATGCCCTGAGCTAATGTATCAAAACAAATCCATTAGCAGTCAATGAAATTGGCTTAATTGACCTTTCAGTAGAAAAATACAGAATTTAAAAAAAATCCATAATAATTATGCCAGTACTGTATATGCAATACTCATCTATAACAGAGGAATATTTTTGTTGTGTTTATAGATTTATAAATGGTATACGACGGGGTGCAGAGGGAAGCGATGTGATTAATATATCAAATGTACTGAATAAGAGGAAGTAAGTTCTTGAAAATTGTGAAGAATTTTCAGTGCCAAGAGACAGAGGCATAGGCTGAAATATATAGAAAAAAATGGGAATATTTTCCAGTAAAAGTGGATCTTTAACAGTAATGTATGGTGTTACTAATTGTTAAACCTATTTATAAAGGGATATGAGAAGGCTGGCCAGATGTCCTGCTTTAGGCCGGAGAATCCTGCTTTTGAGGACTCTGTCCTCCATCCTGCTCCACCTCAAGCAGAATGTTAATTTGTTCTTTTTGGAGACTGTCTAAAAATAATTATATAAATTACCTTATGTATACTAAAACAGCAGGAACTGAACACCACAATAACCAATTATGTATTTTTATTATAATTTTATGAAGTTGCAGTTGGCAACACTGCACGGAGCCGTGGTGTACATGTATGAAACAACTCAAGTTATCAGTTAAGTACACGTCAGAGTCTGAGACGTTAAGTCTTCTGAAGGGAAACAAGGCAAATACAAGAAAAAAAAACGAAAATTTTTAGAAAAAATGTTTTCTTACCGAAAAATAGTGCAAAGTTCTGGCAACATATTGATTCAATCAGCTTGTTTCTATCGTATTTCTAAGCATCTTTTAACAAAAATGTAATTTTTTG